ACAAGAAGCATATATGAAAATCATTAAGGACAAATTTCTCCCAAAGACAAATACATATTCCTTCAAGAGTGAAGTCGACTAGATATAAGACTAACTAAAGGTTCCCACGCAGAAGACAAACGAGGGTGTGGCCCTACTAGTAGACCTAAGTACTTTAACAAGAGAGACTCTTGATGAAATTGGATAAAATTACAAGCTAGGTCAAGGAAATCAATATTAGAGTTTACCCCAATGATATTGCTCTTGGAAAAATCCACTCGAAGGTCTGAGGCTAGCTCAAAAACTCATTGAATGGCCTTGATGAACTAAACGTTTTCATATGAGGAATATTCTAGAATGATTATGTCATCCACATACTAAAGATGATAGACCATCAAGTCAGAGGACCCCATACGAAGACCCGGGAAAATTTGAAGATCCACAACCCTAGAAAATAACCCATTAAAACCTTCAAATACAAGGAGAAAGAGGAAAAGAGCCATGGGGTCAACTTGGTTCAACCCCCTTTGAAGTATAAGTTCTTAGGTCGAGCAACCATTTACCAAGACTGAAAGATTACTAGAAAGCACACATGCATTAATCCAACTGCTCCACTTATCATTAAAGCTAAATTCGGAAAGAATATAATCTAGAAAAGACCAATTAATTAAGTCATATAATTTCTCAAAATCAACTTTAAAAATGAAGAAAGACTTTTTACTCTTCTTAGCTAGGTCCACCAACTCTTTCACATCTACAACCCTATCTACTATAAGTTTACCCTTAAGGAAATATGATTGATTAGAAGAGAAAATATTATCCATGACACCAATAAGTATGATTACCACCACCTTCCCAAGGAAATATGCCAAAAGTTTCCCACGTGAGAAGAAGAATTATTCATAGAAATCAAGGTCACAAAAAAGAGGAAAAACCATGGAAGAAGAGAAGCAAATTGATGGAATTGCTCAAACATAATCCTAACATCATCCCTAACAAGGGTCCAAAACCTCCTAAAAAAGTAGAAAATTTAACGCACATGATCCATACTATTATTACCATCACACAAAGCAATTGTATTATCAATCTCAGTGAGGAGAAAATATGTTGTAAGACTGGCATAATCCTCCTTCGAGAGAGAAGGAAAAGGAACCTCTTCCAAATTGGGACGAACTATGAGAGGTTCTCTAAAATGTTTAAGAAAATAATGAACTTACTCTTGACGAATCTCAAACACCCCCCTCACCTAAGCATCACCTATATTAAGAGCTAAAATAGAATTCTTCATATACCTACTTTTAATGCAAGCATGAAAGTAACTAGTATTTGAAATTAAAGTGTGAATGATTGAGTTTTACATCGATTATAAACGAAGAAAATATTGGATATATAAGAGAAAAGATTCATACAACTATTATCTTATACTTCTAAGTCCAATTGTAGCTTGCATTATCCCAGCAAAATTACAATTTAAAAACAATTATAAAATATTAACTTTTAATAGATATTGATGTAAATTTAACAGGGTTGTTTCATATTTTCGGAGGCTCTGTGAAGATTAATTATAGTTTAATCATGACACAAAAAAAATGGATCTCATTTAACCACGATTTAATAGTGACTTACATTTATGAGATCTTATTTAAATATATTTTAATTATGACAAGTTTTTAATTGTGTGTAGTAACCCGCTTTGCATGACCTTAAAAGCGGTCCTAAATTTTAATTACTAGCATACTTTGCAAGCACAATGAATGTTTCCACTTTTCTTTTAGAAAAATAAAGAACTTTAATTTTTATTTATTTAGAAGATAACAATGACTATTTATATACATTTTGGATTTGCTTGACTTGCTTAAAAAAACAAAATACCATATTAAAGATGACCGAAATTCAATTGATAATGTCGATATTATTTAATTATATTATTTGAATTTAAACTCAAAATTTTATCATTGTGTGTTAGTTTTATGTAGTATTTATTATTTTTTAAATAAAGTAAAAAAATTCATGAAAAAATAATTCATTACATTTAATATATGTGACGTGTGGGCACACTAGATTTCTATTTATTTTTCTTTAAATTCACACAATTTCTTCACAAAACATAAATCTTTCACTGATTCAATTTCTCTTAACTAATATGGAGAATCAAAACAAGAGAAAGTCGATCATGGTCGAGGAGGGTGATTCAACTCAGAAAATTGCTCGTTACTCATGTGCTTTTTGTGAAAAAACATATGAAACTCGTCAAGCACTAGGAGGACATCAACGTGCTCACAAACACGAGCGAGATGTCATATATGGAATTAAGCCTAGGTCAATCCCTCATCATCCAAGAGGAAAATTGAGCTTTAGTATTGGAGCTTGTAAGGTTGATATGAAAAATATCAATGGATGGGAAATACCAAAGAGAGATGAAGTGAAAGAGGCTGATCATGATCAAAATAGCGCAAAATCTGAATTTAAGTTTGTTTTGCTTTCCATGACAAATGCTCAAATCAATGGGTCAGGGAGTCAACAAATTCCCAGGACTGAAATTGACTTTGGTCTAGTTTCAAAGAGGAATGCTAATAATGATTCTCATGATGATGTCAAGGAGACTAATTCCAATTTAATTGATTAGTTTCTACATTTGTGTGTGAGATATATAATTAATTATATATTTAAAAATTATGATTATGTATAAGATCAATTGTACTCTTTTATATTTTTATATAAAAAAAGATAATATGATAAGGTTTATGTGAAACAAAATAAAATAGTCTTTTAGGTGTCTTCAATTTTATGATTTGATAACTTTTATTCTTTGTTTTTCCTAAAAATAAGAAGTTAAATACACATTTAAATAAAAAGATATTGAGATTGGTTAAAAATATACATATTGAAGAAGTCTCACGTTGTTTTATTTTGCAAAGGAGAATGAAGTTCAAAAATATATAAATGATTAAAGTTCTTCATCACAAGATGCATCAATCAAAACACTATAAATTTGTATTTAACTTTTTCTTTTCTCTTATGCTCTTGTGTTGCAGTGTTGTAAAATGTAGTTAAATATTTGCTCTGAGAGAGTGTGAGTGTATTGGGAACCGTGAGGTGGTTAAGGGTAAATTATGTGTTGTGAAAATTTCCACATAATATTATTTTCTGGTTTTCATTTGACAACAATTGTAATTTTTCTCCTGTTTCGAAGTTTCCACTTATATCTCTGTGTTATTATTGTGTTCATTTTTTCTCTATGCATTTGATTTTCCTAACAATTAGTATACAAAATTTTGGTTGATTTAGAGATAGGAGTTCTTAGTATGCTTAGTGGTTGCAACTTTGTCTGATCTTTCACATCAAAAAAGAAGGGTGATTTTGAAAGAGTTGTTGAATTGCAGTCGCAAAGTTTGGTGTGTAATTCTAAATAGAGAAAATTGATGAAATAATTATTTTTAACCTGTAGAAAATTAAAGTCAAAGATATGGTTAGTGGTTAGTACATGAGCATTGATTGATATTGTTGCAAGGTGTGTTGCACCACAAAATTTGACCTCCTGATTTTGTCTCTATCTGGCTTATGATTCTCATTTCATCTGCATACATTCTATTAGATCATTTGCACATCATGCATTTCATTGTATAAGGACACCTTGGTTCAAAATATCAATAACCATTCATATTAGGGTTTCACAGTTATTTTGAGTTGTACATATCAAATAAGATTGATTCTTCTATTTTTTTATTGAGCATTAAGATATGAAATTAGGGTTGTGAAGTATGGTTGTTATGGACTTCTTATTTCCCTCAAGCTACAAAGTTTATCAAACTTCTCCATCAAGATACCTCAAAAGCAAGTGCATTAGGGTTGTGATTTGTGGATGATAGGGTTTTCCTTCAATAATTCAAAGGAGGGTCTTATGAGCTTGAATTTGGTTTCTTTTCAATACCTCAAGTCACTTCTTCCTTAAGAGCTAAGGCAAGACCTTTAAGGTATCATCATTCCTTTTATTTGAGACCACTTTGAACCAAAATTTTGATGTCAAGGGCAATGTTTTTGGTAAAGAACACTAAGTGAAGATAAATTTTGTCAAGTTAAGATATCATATGGGTTGAATTACAAAGATAGATAGGGAGCTATGACACAGAGATGATGTTGTGATCAAGGATAGTGATGATACTTATTGCGTGCACTACAAATTTGATGTGAATTGAAGAATTGGAGTGGTGTGGATTCATGTCGATGATTCAAATGTTTCAAATTATCGAATGGATTAATGGATTAACTTTATTTAAAGTATACGAGTTTGGAAGATTTGTTCATTTGGAGGTAATAAGATTACAAGACATATCCAAGATCATTCAAGACATGGTTCAAGTTCAAAATTTCAATATCATTCAACTTAATTCAAGTGCTCACTTACATTCATCAAAAGTCTAATTTTCAACATCATTCAACAAGTTCAAGTTTCATCAAAACTATTCATTGAAGTTTAAAATTTCACCAAATTCATTCAAAGTGATTCAAAGTCACAAGTTTCATCAAAAATCATTCATGTATGTTCAAATCCATTCAAAGTCTTACGATTACAAGTTTAAAGTAATAAAAAGATTAGCTATCAAGCCATGATGCAATCTCATTATAAAATTCCAAGGACAAGTGTGTGGAAATTACACTGGGAAAGCTACATAAAATTTGTGATCCTAAAATCTATTAACCCTAAACTTTAAGCTACATAAAATTTGTGATCCTAAAGTCTATTACAGGAAATAACAGAAACTAAATTCAGGAGAAAATTATTAAATCACAAATCAAAATAAAAAGCTCAGCATCAGAATCAAATCATCCTCATCCATCATATATCCAACTTTCAGATCTAATGGCCGGAATTCATTATTGCTGTAACAAATTTTCCCAAGGATTCTACTGGTATATAACAGAATAGGCAGAAGAAAAAGGGGATCACGATTCAGTTTCAACAAAAAAAAACTCAGAAAATTATTTCTGCTTTCTCTCTGTTCAATCTTCATCATCAACACATGAATACTTCTCTCCGACGATTCTTGATCATTCTCTGCAATCTTTCTGTAACAGCATCATGTTCATCGCAAGTTCAACGAACAACGCATATCATCATCACTGTAACAACAAAAAATTGGCATCTGCAACATCACAACATAACGCAAAATCACAACAACACGGACGAATCACACAAAGGCAGAAAAGAAGAATCGCACAGAAACGAAAAATGTAGAAGAACGAAGGAGAAGATTAGAGTGAAGAATTTACCTCTGGATTTCTCGCTCGACGTCGTTGTTGAAGAGCCACCGGAGTTCTTCGGTAGATAAGCCTAAACTTCTTTATTCTTTCCGTATGTATCTCTATGTATGTAGATCCGTGGAACATGTGTTGTTGTTTGTGTGATTGGATCAGTGCTGAGACGAGAGAGAACAGAGACGAATCAGAGAAGATGAAGAAATCACGGCGTAGTTTTTGGCGGAATGAATAGAAGAGAGAAGGTGATGACGATCACGACAGAGAGATTTGTTTTGAAGCAAGATCGAAGAAGAATGAAACCACGACATTGAAGATGAATCTGTCGAAGGCGAAGAAGGTGATTCTGGAGTTGACGGTGGAGATGTATGTGGTTAATAGACCGTTCACTCCGGCGGTGAGGGGACGTAGAAGAAGAAGCCGCCACGAGTTGAGAGAGAAGAGAGGGAAAGGATGGTTTGTTCACGTGAAGTTGGATAGCCACAATTGTTAGCCCTAACACACACCAAAACGCACACGTTTTGTCTCCTTTCCACTTTATTTGTTTTCTTTCTTTCAATTTTATATAATAATTGAGCAATAATAAATTTGAAATGAAATCAATATATTGGACTGAAGTGAAATTTGGTGATGATATGTTTTTGGACCTGAACCGAATCCCTTGGCCCATACGTTTTTGGAAATCTTTTGCCAAGTGCAAAAAAACTCTCTTGGACCTCACTGTTGGGCCTTTGTTCCAATCTCTGAACCAACACCTGGATTCAACTGTGCACCCCTCTGTTTAGAATTTTAATTGTTTTCCCTTTTAATTTTATTTCCCTTAATTTTGATAATATGAATGTTGATAAAAATACATGAATAAAAACATTAGTTTTTTTAGAATCTAATTAGAGTTTCCTCTTCTTAATTAGATGTATTGATTAACATGTGTAATCCTTGGTTATGCTTAGTCATCACACGTTATCTAAGCTATGCAATGAACAATGTGTGTATTTCTTGGAATTTGATTGATATCATAATTATTACTTTCATTTAATGTTCCTAATTATTTTATTTAATTGTATGTATTTTTATTTTACTTTCTCTCACTTTTCAAACACTATAAATCACACATGTTCACTTCACTTCTACACTTTAGAAACCCTAAACCTTTTTTTCTCTCATACAGTTTAACAAGTTCTCAGTGTTTATCATCTTCATCAACGCTCTTCATCGAAGATCATCACCCTCGTCAAAAACCGTCATCATCTTCAACATTTCAACATGATGAATGATCAACAACAAGAAGCTATTCAGTTTGCTAAAGATATGGAACAAGCCCTAAATCTTTCTGAGTCGTTTTCTTCAACCATTCCAACCAGTTCTTCTTCTCCTATGGTAATTGGTCCATCTTCTCTATCAGTTATTTATGAACACCACATAACTCAGAAATATTTTCAAGTTCACTCCATCATTCCTCCATATGAGTTAGTAGTTCTTCGAGAATACATGGTTGATTTTGATAATCTTGCTGAAAATGGGTGTGACATTAGAGAGGAGTTAGAGGCTCATGGGTGGAAAAATACTTTCAAAGACTACATGGTCCTATTTATGGAGCCTTAATAAAGGATTTTTAGAAGAATGCTGACTATGATGATCTTCACATTGTCTCGAATGTGATTGGTCAAAGAATAATCATCACATAAAAGTCTATTGCGGATCTTCTAGGTCCGGAATTTTTGAAAGGAAAATGTACGTTTGGGATGGAGTTTAGATCCAATGCTCAAAAGAATGCTCTCTGTCAATTGTTGTCTAAGAATTACGCTGTTGAGAAGAAAGAATACAAAAGTAAGGATCTTTATGACAATTTGAGAATTTGGCACAAGATCATTCTGGGTTGCATAAACCCTAGACCTCCAACAAGTTCTTCAGATTATTTCAACATCAGCCAGCAGTTCATGCTGTAATATTTGCTTTCCAAAAAGAAGGTGAATCTTCCCTTTGTTATGTTTAGTCATCTGAAGGAGGCTATCAAAAAATCAAGAATAACTGCAAATCAAGATAAAAAGGTCTCTCCTAATATTCCATGTGGACGTCTTCTGACTGACATTTTTGTAGAGAGTGGATTAGAAGACTTTCTTACAAAAGAAGCCAGATTCACGGAATACTTGATTGCCATCATTGGAGAACCATTTAATGGACAGACCTTGAGAAACATGAAGATAATCCCAAAACTTAAAAATAAACACTTGGGTGAGCCAACTGAAGTTACCAAGAATAAAAGAATCCTTATTGAAAACTTTCCTCTATTCTCCAAGACTGGTAACCTAATTGGCGTGGTTGCATATGTTGTAAGGATGGCTAGAGCAGGACATGATATGTCAAATTTCGACTTCACCAAACATTCTACTGAGGGAGTTGATTATTCTAAAGAGAAAAGGAAGGAAAGATCAGATGGTTATGATCCTAAAAAGAAAAAGAAGAAGTCTGGAACTTCTAAGATGGTAACTCTAGCTGTTTATCCAAAAACAACAAGTAAGTCTACGACTGCTACTTCTTTAACTATTTCTAAAATTGTTTCTAATATAATTGATGCAGTCTCATCCATTACAACCACCATCACACAAACATCATCTTTTACATCCTTTTCTATTCCACCATCCACCATCACCACTTCTATTTTTGTTCCTGTTACAAATATTTCATCTATATCTGATGTTGTTTCAACGACAATTCTTTTCACTTCAAATGTTTCTAATTCACTATAAACCACCACCATTTCTAAATCTCAACCCACCACCACCACACAAGCTTTTGATCTAAATCCTATTTCATCTCTCACTACCATTATTCCATCAGAACCAATCCACACTTTTACATCTCCATTAACCTCATCTCAATCACTTCCACAAACTTCTCATATTTCAACTTTCTATACCAATCTTCATTTTGCCTTCTTTAACAAAGAAACTACTCTCCATGACTCACCCATTATCCATCCTGATCCAATTTCTCCCTCTGATCACGAAATGTCTGAAAGGAAAATTTCTGATAATCGCGGAGCTGTTGAAATTTCCACAACTGAACCTTTCACTTGTTCTAAACTTTTTGATATGATTGAAAAACCGATATCACAAAATCCTCCTAATCAAACTTCTAAACTAAATCATCGTGAACCTACCCAAGCCTTGGTTGTTTATGAAAAACCTGCTCCAAAAACCTTGGATGGATGCATTAACATTTTTAGAATCAAGGCTAAGAAAAATGTTGTTAAGTTAAAGGCAGACGCAAGTACGAGTACTGAGCCTTAGAACATGAATGGTTCTTGGAAACTTTTTCAGAAGTGGGTGTCTTCTGAAGTTGAAAGAATGAATTATTTTGCTGAAGCATCCAGAGTTTGGGATGTTCAGATGGTAACTGAAAGGAAAGAAACAAGAGAAAGAATTAGACTATTTGAACTGCTTGCTGCTAAACAACGAGAAGATTGTGAAAGAGAGTTAGAAGAAGCAGGAGAAGCAAGACTTAAAGCCCAAGAAGACGAGGAAGCCTGAAAATCTGAAGAATCAAGGTTGGCTCAAGAGGAAGAAGAAGCTCGTAAAGAAAGTCAAGATGTTGTAATAATATCTTCTTCTGATACTGCCATTGCGCGCCTGGAAAACACAATTGGTGAGATTAGAGGAGAACAATAGGTTTTCAGAGAAAGCATCATTGAACATAAAGATTTTAATGAGAATGTTCAGAACATGCTACAACCGATTCTTCAAAAGATCTATGCTTCTGCTCCTGCTCCTGAACCATAGGCTCTAGGATTTTCTTTTTGCTTCTAAACTATAGGAATATGCTTGCTTCTTACTTTTTGTGTTTCTTCTGATTAATTTACATTTCTGAAAGTCTTTTCTTTTTTATTTTAATGCAGTCTTCTTTTGACTTATCAATGAAACTTCTTATCCTTTCCTATTGTTTCTTCTGGTTTTTATGTTTTCACACATAATTACCTTTTTTATTATGACAAAAAGGGGGAGTAATTAAATGAACGTAATTTTGATTTCAATAATCAAGTTCTGGAAAATGTTCTCTGAAAAGAGCTGCTTAAATTCTAACCAAGTTAAAAAATCCTGATTCTGTTAAAATTGTTTTCTTTTTTAGGAAATGAGAACTTTGATTAAAGACAAAGATCTGAAAGCATTTTGCAAGGCTTATGTCTAACCTATTAGCTTCATACTTGGTTTCAAGAATTGAAATCTGGAATGAGACTCCAACAATTGAGAATCTGGAAGCTGTCTTAGTGACATTAAAGTTTCAAGATTTCAATTAATTTCATTTTCATTGGCATCTAGAGTCAAGACTCTCAAAGATCTCAATATTTGATCTATTGGAACCAGGTGGAGTTTTTACTCAAATGGTTCAAAGCCAGGATATTCGAGCTTCATCAAGTCATTAACTCATGGGGAGTTTCATGAAAAGGATAAGTATTCCTTACCTTTTTATTTTCACTTTTTTTGATTATATGCACAAAATTGTGTCATCAAAATACATAGTTTTGTCATCATTAAAAAGGGAGAGATTGTTAGAACAAGATTTGGTTCTGCAATACTATATGAGTTTTGATGAGAACAAATGAGTATGTTTGTATGAAAAATTTTGATACTCTAATGTTTGTTATTTTTGAGTATTTAACAAACAAGTTATGCTTCTGATGGATGGTGTTGCTAAGACATTAGAAGAGAATTAGTTCCAATTTTGCGCTACAAAAGTTCTGATGAACAGTAGAAAGACACTCTAGAAGACTCTGAAGTGTAGACTCTGATATGAAGTCTAAAGAAACCAATCAGACGATCTAAAGATAGAAGTTTCTACTTAAGTCGAGATATTAAAGACTCATGTTTCTGAAGACAACATGTTATAAAGAAACCAGTTAGAAGATCTGAAGATATAGGTTTCTACTTAAGTCCAGATGTTGAAGACTAATGCTTCTGAAGACAAGGGGTTCTCAAGACCAAGTGCTGAAGATTCTGATATACCAAATTCTAAAAACTCTAAAGAATTGAAGTTCTAAAGACCCATGGTTCTAAGAAAAGGGTTCTAAAGACCAAATGCTAAATACTCTGAAGATAGAAGTTATAAAGACTATAAAGACTTGAAGTTCTAAAGATCCAAGGTTCTAAGAAAAGTTTCTCACGACCAAGTTCTGAAGACTCTGAAGACTTGAAGTTCTGATGACCTTGTGTTATGTTCTCGCTTTTAAACTCATGCTCGCAGAAGCCTCTGAAGTACAGAAGGAAAGAAGATAACATTAACATGGTACAAATAATACATGGTACAATCAAGGTTTCATTCCACTGCCATGAAAGGACGGATGCGTTGCACGATCTTGTCCCCCACGTGATTGCTCAAGCTGCCAATGTTTTTGGAAATCCCAGGAGTACCCCTCTACAGATTTATTATTTTATTGGCTATATAAAGGCTTGAAGACTAAGAGAGAAATTGGCGAATTTTTGCTGAATATCCACGCACAAGCGTTGTTCATAGATTTCACATTTTTAGTCTGTTATTCTTAAAATAGTTTACATATTCAGCTTGTATATAAGCAATATTATTGTGAACAAAACTTGTATTCAAACAGTTATTTGATTTCCTCAAGGGACTGATCAGGTATATATCCTTAAGAAGTCTAGGACTAGTGTGTCTTAGAGGTTTGATTTTCCTTAAAGGACCGGTTAGGTTTGTATCCTTAAGAAGTCTAGGACTTGTGTGTCTTAGAGGTTTTAGTCACTTGCAGGTAGCTTGTGCATTGTA